CGCTATGATACACTGAGACACACTATGATACACTGAGACACACTATGACACACTGAGACACGCAATGACACACTGAGACACGCTATGACACACAGAGACACGCTATGATACACTGAGACACACTATGATACACTGAGACACGCTATGATAGACTGAGACACGCTATGACACACTGAGACACACTATGATACACTGAGACACGCCATGACACACTGAGACACACTATGACACACTGAGACACACTATGATACACTGAGACACGCCATGACACACTGAGACACGCAATGATACACTATGACACACTATGATACACTGAGACACACTATGATACACTGAGACACACTATGATACACTGAGACACACTGAGACACGCTATGATACACTGAGACACGCTATGATACACTGAGACACACTATGATACACTGAGACACGCTATGACACACTGAGACACACTATGATACACTGAGACACACTATGATACACTGAGACACACTATGACACACTGAGACACACTATGATACACTGACACACTATGATACACTATGATACACTGAGACACACTGAGACACGCTATGACACACTGAGACATGCTATGACACACTGAGACACGCTATGACACACTGAGACATGCTATGACACACTGAGACACGCAATGATACACTGAGACACACTATGATACACTGAGACACGCTATGACACACTGAGACACACTATGACACACTGAGACACGCTATGATACACTGAGACACACTATGACACACTGAGACACGCTATGACACACTGAGACACGCTATGATACACTGAGACACGCTATGATACACTGAGACACACTATGATACACTGAGACACGCTATGATACACTGAGACACGCTATGACACACTGAGACACGCTATGATACACTATGATACACTGAGACACGCTATGATACACTGAGACACACTATGACACACTGAGACACACTGAGACACACTATGACACACTGAGACACACTATGACACACTGAGACACACTATGATACACTGAGACACACTGAGACACGCTATGATACACTGAGACACGCAATGATACACTGAGACACACTATGACACACTGAGACACACTATGACACACTGAGACACACTATGACACACTGAGACACGCAATGATACACTGAGACACACTATGACACACTGAGACACACTATGACACACTGAGACACACTATGATACACTGAGACACACTGAGACACGCTATGATACACTGAGACACGCAATGATACACTGAGACACACTATGATACACTATGATACACTGAGACACACTGAGACACACTATGACACACTGAGACACACTATGACACACTGAGACACACTATGATACACTGAGACACACTGAGACACGCTATGATACACTGAGACACGCAATGATACACTGAGACACGCTATGGTGTAACTGTCACTGCTTTCTAAAACAGCACTGAGCTACAGTGACCTGGCAGGCTCCACTGAATGAGACATGAGGGGAATCCTGTGTCTAGGAGATGAAAGAAAAACCATATAAATAGAAATGATGCTCTCTGCGTAACCAGAGATATGACCCAGAACATCCTGATGATGCTGTCTGCGTAACCAGAGATATGACCCAGAACATCTTGATGATGCTGTCTGCGTAACCAGAGATATGACCCAGAACATCCTGATGATGCTGTCTGAGTAACCAGAGATATGACCCAGAACATCCTGATGATGCTGTCTGCGTAACCAGAGATATGATCCAGAACATCCTGATGCTGCTGTCTGCGTAACCAGAGATATGACCCAGAACATCCTGATGATGCTGTCTGCGTAACCAGAGATATGACCCAGAACATCTTGATGATGCTGTCTGCGTAACCAGAGATATGACCCAGAACATCCTGATGATGCTGTCTGAGTAACCAGAGATATGACCCAGAACATCCTGATGATGCTGTCTGAGTAACCAGAGATATGACCCAGAACATCCTGATGATGCTGTCTGCGTAACCAGAGATATGACCCAGAACATCCTGATGATGCTGTCTGAGTAACCAGAGATATAACCCAGAACATCCTGATGATGCTGTCTGAGTAACCAGAGATATGACCCAGAACATCCTGATGATGCTGTCTGCGTAACCAGAGATATGACCCAGAACATCCTGATGATGCTGTCTGAGTAACCAGAGATATGACCCAGAACATCCTGATGATGCTGTCTGCGTAACCAGAGATATGATCCAGAACATCCTGATGATGCTGTCTGAGTAACCAGAGATATGACCCAGAACATCCTGATGATGCTGTCTGAGTAACCAGAGATATGACCCAGAACATCCTGATGATGCTGTCTGCGTAACCAGAGATATGACCCAGAACATCCTGATGATGCTGTCTGAGTAACCAGAGATATGACCCAGAACATCCTGATGATGCTGTCTGCGTAACCAGAGATATGATCCAGAACATCCTGATGCTGCTGTCTGCGTAACCAGAGATATGACCCAGAACATCCTGATGATGCTGTCTGCGTAACCAGAGATATGACCCAGAACATCTTGATGATGCTGTCTGCGTAACCAGAGATATGACCCAGAACATCCTGATGATGCTGTCTGAGTAACCAGAGATATGACCCAGAACATCCTGATGATGCTGTCTGAGTAACCAGAGATATGACCCAGAACATCCTGATGATGCTGTCTGCGTAACCAGAGATATGACCCAGAACATCCTGATGATGCTGTCTGCGTAACCAGAGATATGACCCAGAACATCCTGATGATGCTGTCTGCGTAACCAGAGATATGACCCAGAACATCCTGATGATGCTGTCTGCGTAACCAGAGATATGACCCAGAACATCCTGATGATGCTGTCTGCGTAACCAGAGATATGACCCAGAACATCCTGATGATGCTGTCTGCGTAACCAGAGATATGACCCAGAACATCCTGATGATGCTGTCTGCGTAACCAGAGATATGACCCAGAACATCCTGATGATGCTGTCTGCGTAACCAGAGATATGACCCAGAACATCCTGATGATGCTGTCTGCGTAACCAGAGATATGACCCAGAACATCCTGATGATGCTCTCTGCGTAACCAGAGATATGACCCAGAACATCCTGATGATGCTGTCTGCGTAACCAGAGATATGATCCAGAACATCCTGATGATGCTGTCTGCGTAACCAGAGATATGACCCAGAACATCCTGATGATGCTGTCTGCGTAACCAGAGATATGACCCAGAACATCCTGATGATGCTGTCTGCGTAACCAGAGATATGACCCAGAACATCCTGATAATGCTGTCTGCGTAACCAGAGATATGACCCAGAACATCCTGATGATGCTGTCTGCGTAACCAGAGATATGACCCAGAACATCCTGATGATGCTGTCTGCGTAACCAGAGATATGACCCAGAACATCCTGATGATGCTGTCTGCGTAACCAGAGATATGACCCAGAACATCCTGATGATGCTGTCTGCGTAACCAGAGATATGACCCAGAACATCCTGATGATGCTGTCTGCGTAACCAGAGATATGACCCAGAACATCCTGATGATGCTGTCTGCGTAACCAGAGATATGACCCAGAACATCCTGATGCTGCTGTCTGCGTAACCAGAGATATGACCCAGAACATCCTGATGATGCTGTCTGAGTAACCAGAGATATGACCCAGAACATCCTGATGATGCTGTCTGCGTAACCAGAGATATGACCCAGAACATCCTGATGATGCTGTCTGCGTAACCAGAGATATGACCCAGAACATCCTGATGATGCTGTCTGCGTAACCAGAGATATGACCCAGAACATCCTGATGATGCTGTCTGCGTAACCAGAGATATGACCCAGAACATAATCTCTCACCCTGTGCCACCTCTAACCCTCTCAGTTTGGGGTCAAGCATCAGTTGTGCAGTAGATAGGACATCTCAACCATGATAGATGTGACCATGTGTGTTTGCGTGATGCTGTTGAAACACACCCACGTTACTCTGAAGGGTTTTGTGGTGCTATTGCACAATAAGGCCTTCTGCCAAGGGATCACAGCTCTTCCGGATTATGATTTGTTGTCATTTTGTTTATATATCAATGGTCACAATCCGATTTCAGATGAACAGAATGAAAAGATTAGCAGATTTTATGTAATTCGTCATCTAATTCAATTAATCTAATTTAAAACAATGTACACAACAAAATAAAATAGAATTGATGAATGCAACAGGGGTTCTAGAGTAGTGGGTAGTAGGCGGCAGGTAGCTTAGTGGTTAAGAGCGTTGTGCCAGTAACCGAAAGGTCGCTGGTTCTAATCCCCGAGCCGACTAGGTGACAAATCTGTCGATGTGCCCTTGAGCAAGGCACTTAACCCTAATTGCTCCTGTAAGTCGCTCTGGATAAGAGCGTCTGCTAAATTACTAAAAAAAAAAAAAAAAAAAAGTAGTGTGTTGATGGAACATTTCCAGTAGAGCAACCTGGTCTCAGAGCATTTCGTATTATTCTGTATGTAAACCGGAAAACGCTCCACTGTGATATCTTACGTTTCAAATGGTAGGCATTAATTTGTGCATGTCCATCACCCATTTCGTATGAATGCTACAAATTACAATTTGTATTATATGTTAGGAATTTGCTAAATGTACAATATGTTACGAATTTGCGAAACGTGTTATATTTTACCAATTTGCAGAATGTACAATTTGTTACAAATTTGCTAAACGTATGATATGTTACGAAGTTGCTGTTACGAATTCTAGTTAGGTGGTTAATGTTTGCTAGCTCACTAACGTTAGCTAGGCTAGGGGTTAGGGGTTAGGGTTAAGTTTAGGAGTTAGGTTAAAGGGTTAAGGTTATGGATATGGGAAGGTTTAGCTAAAAGTGTTAGGGTTAGGTGAAGGGTTAGCTAAAAGGGTTAAAGTTAGGGTTAGGGGAAGGGTTAACTAACATGCATGAGTAGAGGATTCCCCAACAGGGGTTCTGAGACCAGGTTGAGGAGAGTATTCCCCAACAGGGGTTCTGAGACCAGGTTGAGTGGAGTATTCCCCAACAGGGGTTCTGAGACCAGGTTGAGTGGAGTATTCCCCAACAGGGGTTCTGAGACCAGGTTGAGTGGAGTATTCCCCAACAGGGGTTCTGAGACCAGGTTGAGTGGAGTATTCCCCAACAGGGGTTCTGAGACCAGGTTGAGTGGAGTATTCCCCAACAGGGGTTCTGAGACCAGGTTGAGTGGAGTATTCCCCAACAGGGGTTCTGAGACCAGGTTGAGGAGAGTATTCCCCAACAGGGGTTCTGAGACCAGGTTGAGGAGAGTATTCCCCAACAGGGGTTCTGAGACCAGGTTGAGGAGAGTATTCCCCCAACAGGGGTTCTGAGACCAGGTTGAGGAGAGTATTCCCCAACAGGGGTTCTGAGACCAGGTTGAGGAGAGTATTCCCCAACAGGGGTTCTGAGACCAGGTTGAGGAGAGTATTCCCCAACAGGGGTTCTGAGACCAGGTTGAGTGGAGTATTCCCCAACAGGGGTTCTAGACCAGGTTGAGTGGAGTATTCCCCAACAGGGGTTCTAGACCAGGTTGAGTGGAGTATTCCCCAACAGGGGTTCTAGACCAGGTTGACCAGGTTGAGTGGAGTATTCCCCAACAGGGGTTCTAGACCAGGTTGAGTGGAGTATTCCCCAACAGGGGTTCTAGACCAGGTTGAGTGGAGTATTCCCCAACAGGGGTTCTAGACCAGGTTGAGTGGAGTATTCCCCAACAGGGGTTCTAGACCAGGTTGAGTGGAGTATTCCCCAACAGGGGTTCTAGACCAGGTTGAGTGGAGTATTCCCCAACAGGGGTTCTAGACCAGGTTGAGTGGAGTATTCCCCAACAGGGGTTCTAGACCAGGTTGAGTGGAGTATTCCCCAACAGGGGTTCTAGACCAGGTTGAGTGGAGTATTCCCCAACAGGGGTTCTGAGACCAGGTTGAGTGGAGTATTCCCCAACAGGGGTTCTGAGACCAGGTTGAGTGGAGTATTCCCCAACAGGGGTTCTGAGACCAGGTTGAGTGGAGTATTCCCCAACAGGGGTTCTGAGACCAGGTTGAGTGGAGTATTCCCCAACAGGGGTTCTGAGACCAGGTTGAGGAGAGTATTCCCCAACAGGTGTTCTGAGACCAGGTTGAGTGGAGTATTCCCCAACAGGGGTTTCTAGACCAGGTTGAGTGGAGTATTCCCCAACAGGGGTTCTGAGACCAGGTTGAGTGGAGTATTCCCCAACAGGGGTTCTGAGACCAGGTTGAGGAGAGTATTCCCCAACAGGGGTTCTGAGACCAGGTTGAGGAGAGTATTCCCCAACAGGGGTTCTGAGACCAGGTTGAGGAGAGTATTCCCCAACAGGGGTTCTGAGACCAGGTTGAGGAGAGTATTCCCCAACAGGGGTTCTGAGACCAGGTTGAGGAGAGTATTCCCCAACAGGGGTTCTGAGACCAGGTTGAGGAGAGTATTCCCCAACAGGGGTTCTGAGACCAGGTTGAGGAGAGTATTCCCCAACAGGGGTTCTGAGACCAGGTTGAGGAGAGTATTCCCCAACAGGGGTTCTGAGACCAGGTTGAGGAGAGTATTCCCCAACAGGGGTTCTAGACCAGGTTGAGGAGAGTATTCCCCAACAGGGGTTCTGAGACCAGGTTGAGTGGAGTATTCCCCAACAGGGGTTCTGAGACCAGGTTGAGGAGAGTATTCCCCAACAGGGGTTCTGAGACCAGGTTGAGGAGAGTATTCCCCAACAGGGGTTCTGAGACCAGGTTGAGGAGAGTATTCCCCAACAGGGGTTCTGAGACCAGGTTGAGGAGAGTATTCCCCAACAGGGGTTCTAGAGTAGTGTGTTGATAGAACATGTTCCCATGTTCCTCCCTGCTTCATTACTATTGGCCCAGCTGCTCTGACTTTATGATGAATGTTGTTTTAATTGGTTGGTGACTGGGGGGCCTGATCGCCTGCAGTCTGGCTATGAGGAGATGTACTCCATGATTGGTTGGTGACTGGGGGGCCTGATCGCCTGCAGTCTGGCTGTGAGGAGATGTACTCCATGATTGGTTGGTGACTGGGGGGCCTGATCGCCTGCAGTCTGGCTGTGAGGAGATGTACTCCATGATTGGTTGGTGACTGGGGGGCCTGATCGCCTGCAGTCTGGCTGTGAGGAGATGTACTCCATGATTGGTTGGTGACTGGGGGGCCTGATCGCCTGCAGTCTGATTGGCTGTGAGGATATGTACTCCATGATTGGTTGGTCACTGCAGGGCTATGCTGCTTCACTGTGCTCCTCCCTATAGGCTGTCTCGTCGTTGTCGGTGATCAGGCCTACCACTGTTGTGTCGTCAGCAAACTTAATGATGGTGTTGGAGTCGTGCATGGCCACGCAGTCATGGGTGAACAGGGAGTACAGGAGGGGACTGAGCACGCACCCCTGTGGGGCCAGCGTGGCAAATGTGTTGTTACCTACCCTTACCAGTTGGGGGCGGCCCGTCAGGAAGTCCAGGATCCAGTTGCAGAGGGATAAAAACGTTAAATGGCTTATTATTATTATTATTATTATTATTATTATTATTATTATTAATATGATTATTATTATTATTATTATTATTATTATTGTTATTGTTATTGTTATTGTTATTGTTATTATTATTATAGGCAACGCTGCAGTTGGTTGGTGGACCATGACTATACTAGAGGACCAACGGGTCGGCTGATTGGCTGATTGTCTGTGCTTCAGTGAATAGTAACTAAAAGCTTTTCCATGGGAAGTGGATGCACCAGAGACAGTCGCTGTCCACCGTTCTGTGGTGCTGAACTTTAGAGAATAGTAACTAAAAGCTTTTCCATGGGAAGTGGATGCACCAGAGACAGTCGCTGTCCACCGTTCTGTGGTGCTGAACTTTAGAGAATAGTAACTAAAAGCTTTTCCATGGGAAGTGGATGCACCAGAGACAGTCGCTGTCCACCGTTCTGTGGTGCTGAACTTTAGAGAATAGTAACTAAAAGCTTTTCCATGGGAAGTGGATGCACCAGAGACAGTCGCTGTCCACCGTTCTGTGGTGCTGAACTTTAGAATTCGGATTAGCGTTGGACCTTTTACTCTACTGACAGTGAGTGTGTTTACTCTAGTGACAGTGAGTGTGTTTACTCTAGTGACAGTGAGTGTGTTTACTCTAGTGACAGTGAGTGTGTTTACTCTACTGACAGTGAGTGTGTTTACTCTAGTGACAGTGAGTGTGTTTACTCTAGTGACAGTGAGTGTGTTTACTCTAGTGACAGTGAGTGTGTTTACTCTACTGACAGTGAGTGTGTTTACTCTAGTGACAGTGAGTGTGTTTACTCTAGTGACAGTGAGTGTGTTTACTCTAGTGACAGTGAGTGTGTTTACTCTACTGACAGTGAGTGTGTTTACTCTAGTGACAGTGAGTGTGTTTACTCTAGTGACAGTGAGTGTGTTTACTCTAGTGACAGTGAGTGTGTTTATTCTAGTGACAGTGAGTGTGTTTACTCTAGTGACAGTGAGTGTGTTTACTTTAGTGACAGTAAGTTTTTGTATTCTAGTGACAGTGAGTGTACCCCCAGAGAAGAGTGGTCCTCTGTAGCTCAGCTGGTAGAGCATGGCGCTTGTAACGCCAGGGTAGTGGGTTCGATCCCCGGGACCACCCATACGTAAAAATGTATGCACAAATGACTGTAAGTCACTTTGGATAAAAGCGTCTGCTAAATGGCATATTATTATTAGAAGATGACCTTGGATGATGTTTATTGTGAGAAAATAAAATGTTCTTGATTATTGATTGTTAGATTGTTTCACTCTTCCTTGCCATGTAATGTGTGTATATATGACTCATGAGCCAGTCAGCGTCACCAACAGTAGCCCTTCCTATTGCGTCCACCATGCTGAATGGAGGTCACCAACAGTAGCCCTTCCTATTGCGTCCACCATGCTGAATGGAGGTCACCAACAGTAGCCCTTCCTATTGCGTCCACCATGCTGAATGGAGGTCACCAACAGTAGCCCTTCCTATTGCGTCCACCATGCTGAATGGAGGTCACCAACAGTAGCCCTTCCTATTGCGTCCACCATGCTAAATGGAGGTCACCAACAGTAGCCCTTCCTATTACGTCCACCATGCTGAATGGAGGTCACCAACAGTAGCCCTTCCTATTACGTCCACCATGCTGAATGCAGGTCACCAACAGTAGCCCTTCCTATTGCGTCCACCATGCTGAATGGAGTAGCTATGAGGATTAGATTTCAGGCTGTTGACTTCAGCAGTTTGTTGGGCTGTCAGAGCAGAGACTTTCTGGTGTCTGTCACCTTCTATGAGTTGTAGAGTTCTAAATAACTCAGAACATTCTCTAATGTAACCTGTCCTTAACCAAGCTTTAACCTTCAACGACTGATTAATGATTGATCTGTGAGCTTCAGGGGTCATTTTAAGACGCATCCTATGGGCCATGATCAAAAGTAGCGCACTATAGAGGGAATAAGGGTGCCATTTGGGACGACACAGTCTCAGCTTTAGGCAGGTTAACAGGTCATAGATACTGTCAGGCCATGTCCAAACTCTGTCCCCAAAATAGGAAATATACTGTAAAGTCATAGATACTGTCAGGCCACGTCCAAACTCTGTCCCCAAAATAGGAAATATGAAGTCATAGATACTGTCAGGCCATGTCCAAACTCTGTCCCCAAAATAGGAAATATGAAGTCATAGATACTGTCAGGCCATGTCCAAACTCTGTCCTCAAACTAGGATATACAGTACCAGTCAAAAGTTTGGACACACCTACTCATTCAAGGGTTTTTCTTTATTTTTACTATTTTCTAAATTGTAGAATAATACTGAAGACATCAAAACTATGAAATAACACATAAGGAATCATGTAGTAACCAAAAAAGTGTTAAACAAATCAAAATATATTTTAGATTCTTCAAATAGCCACCCTTTGCCTTGATGACAGCTTTGCACACTCTTGGCATTCTCTCAACCAGCTTCATGAGGAATGTTTTTCCAACAGTCTTGAAGGAGTTCCCACATATGCTGAGCACTTGTTGGCTGCTTTTCCTTCACTCTGCGGTCCAACTCATCCCAAACCATCTCAATTGGGTTGAGGTCAGGTGATTGTGTAGGCCAGGTCATCTGATGCAGCACTCCATCACTCTCCTTGGTTAAATAGCCCTTACACAGCCTGGAGGTGTGTTTTGGGTCATTGTTCTGTTGAAAAACAAATGATAGTCCCACTAAGCGCAAACCAGATGGGATGGCTTATTGCTGCAGAATGCTGTGGTAGCCATGCTGGTTAAGTGTGCCTTGAATTCTAAATAAATCACAGACAGTGTCCCCAGCAAAGCACGCCCACACCATCACACCTCCTCCTCCATGCTTCACGGTGGGAACCACACATGCGGAGATCATTCGTTCACCCACACCGCGTCTCACAAAGACAAGGCGGTTGGAACCAAAAATCTCAAATTTGGACTCATCAGGCCAAAGGACAGATTTCCGCCAGTCTAATGTCCATTGCTCATGTTTCTTGGCCCAAGCAGGTCTCTTCTTCTTATTGGTGTCTTTAGTAATGTTTTCATTGCAGCAATTTGACCATGAAGGCCTGATTCACGCAGTCCTCTGAACAGTTGATGTTTAGATGTGTCTGTTACTTGAACTCTGTGAAGCATTTATTTGGGCTGCAATCTGAGGTGCAGTTAACTCTAATGAATGTATCCTCTGCAGCAGAGGTAACTCTGGGTCTTCCTTTCCAGTGGTGGTCCTCATGAGAGCCTTGATGGTTTTTGCGACTGCACTTGAAGAAACTTTCAAAGTTCTTTACATTTTCGGTATTGACTGACCTTCATGTCTTAAAGTGATGATGGACTGTTGTTTCTCTTTGCTTATTTGAGCTGTTCTTGCCATAATATGGAATTGGTCTTTTACCAAATAGGGCTATCTTCTGTATACCACCCCTACCTTGTCACAACACAACTGATTGGCTCAAACGCATTAAGAACGAAAGAAATTCCACAAATTAACTTTTAACAAGGCACACCTGTTAATTGAAATGCATTCCAGGTGACTACCTCATGAAGCTGGTTGAGAGAATGCCAAGAATGTGCAAAGCTGTCATAAAGGCAAGGGAGGCTATTTGAAGAATCTCAAATATATTTGTATTTCTTTAACACTTTTTTGGTTATTACATGATTCCATATGTGTTATTTCATAGTTTTGATGTCTTCACTATTATTCTACAATGTAGAAAACAGTAAAAATAAAGAAAAACCCTTGAATGAGTAGGTGTGTCCAAACTTTTGACTTGTAGTGTACATGAACATGATATACACATCTTGCCTTTGTCTCATATAGATGATATTAATCATAGATAATGGTAAGACAAGGGGTGGCGGTCTATGTATATTTGCAAACAACAGCTGGTGCACGATATCTAAGGAAGTCTCAAGGTTTTGCTCGCCTGAGGTAGAGTATTTCATGATAAGTTGTAGACCACACTATTTACCAAGAGAGTTTTCATCTATATTCTTCGTAGCCATCTATTTACCACCACAAACCGATGCTGGCACTAAGACCGCACTTAATGAACTGTATACGGCCATAAGCAAACAGGAAAACGCTCATCCAGTGGCGCCACACCTAGTGGCCGGGGACTTTAATGCAGGGAAACTTAAATCTGTTTTACCTCATTTCTACCAGCATGTTAAATGTGCAACCAGAGGGGAAAAAAAACTCTAGAACACCTTTACTCCACACACAGAGACGCATACAAAGCTCTCCCTCGCCCTCCATTTGGCAAATCTGGCCATAATTATATCCTCCTGATTCCTG